TTTGTATAGAAATGTGGTTGGTGCCGTTGATAGAAGAAAGAGAGAAGCGTTAGAAATCAAGCAGCAAAACCCACCGATTAACAGCAAGGAAGAGATGAGAGTGGCTGAGTCTGATATCAATGTAATACGTGCACAAAGAAGACAAACGTAACAATTCCTAGATCACCCTTCGTCCTATATCTGTATACAGGAGGGACCAAAAAAAATCACTTCGACCGAGCCACATATCAGCAAAGTTTCCCGTCTGCTCAGACAGACAGAGTGGATACGAGTACCAGGGCGGAAGATACCCAAGATGTTCCTCTATAAGCAGGAGCTGGCTCTCGCCCATCACCTTCATGTACACAAAATATGAAGTCATCTCCAGTCGCAGAGGTGACATGAATTCCAAAGGAGAAGACCTTTGGAATTCATTCGATTACCTCCAAACAGCTGCGAAACTTCTACTACGAAGCCAGGGATAGCTACCTGGAGACCAGTACTTTCGATGTGGATGACCTCCAACATCGAGCAGCTCCGTCGCAGCGCACGGTTCTGGCATCATCTTCGCTACAGTCGCCAGGGCGGGTTAGTGGTATGGAGGACGTACCTAGAATGGAAAGACCAGTCTTTTCTTCGTGAGCTCCGAACTGAAGGTGAGCGCTGGCGGTACATCGAGCAACCCTTGAAGAGCATCCTCCTGACATGTCGTCGCCCGTACCTTCTTGGGAACCTTTTCTGCTACAGCATTGTATGCCACCACATGGAATCGAAGGGCATTGGAGAAACTCTTGCTACTTTGGAATGAAGGGGGATGAGTACCTGAACAAGATGGAGTATCCAAAGTACCGTCACTGGCCTGTATCGCCTATAATCCCGGTTCGCGTGAGTTCAACAGGTGGTCTACGGTGGCGGAGAAATCGACTATCTCGCTGATCTCAGGCACCACATCGCGGTCGCGTGCCAGAATCTCTCGATGGCGCTCGTCCAGAAGGCTGTGGCGGAGTGTCATGAATAGTATTTAATATGCTCTTTAATATGGTGGTAGAAATGTCCGATCAGAATTTAATAAAGTGTAACTTATAGCGCCTCGAAAGTCAATGAGGAAGCAAAGACTTTTTTGGCCCGCCCCTTGTATATCACCAGCCCTATCCTGCTTTCCAATTTTGCCATATCCGCAGAGAAGGCTGGGAACCCCCCTCCGCTCTTGGAACAACTCGCTCTGTAGGTCTCTGTTGTTTCTATGATGAGCTGCTGCTGCCTGTATTATGTGCGTGCGACCTTATTACTTGTTTGTGTTATTCAGTGACCTGAAGAAGGGCTTAGGCCCGAAACGTAGTCAATGAATTTTAGAAAAGAAGATTTTCTCTCCTATACACAAGAAACCCCTCAAATCCTGCCACTGGTCTCGAAGTGGCAAGAGGGGGAAACGGGAATACCAGGGTAACAGTGGAGGTACATACCACCTTAAAGGGCTAGCTACCCGAGCACTGGTAAATAAACAAGCCACAACACGCACACAGAGGGTCCGGAGCGGCGCAGAAGGAAGCACGAGCTCTACGTGCACTGGAGCAAACGGCGACCTGAAGGGACCTGCAGACAAAAACCGCCGCAGGATTTGGAGTGCACAGGACGAAAAGCTTTCGAGGCATGGGGACTGTCTACGATTCTGCACCTACAACGCTGCGCACATGCATTGATAGGCTGACGCAAAACCATTATCACTGCAGACAAGTAAAACCTCGTTTCGATTTCATCGGTCTCATCGTCTCTCCAGGAAACAAAAGCAAAGGAAACAGCTACTCAGGGAGACCACGATGGCCACCTAATGCTTCGGAGCCGGAACTGAGGGGAAGATATCTGGTGCGCGTGGGTCTTCGATTACTCACTCGAGCACTGTGTCGATTCAGCGAAGTGATCCGGTCACGCGACTGCCATCCATTTTGCAGGGCGCTATTGCGGTGTGATCATTTTCCGATAAAAATAGCGAACCCCTCCCTAATTCCATCTTCAAGTACGACCCCCTCCCCATGTTACCTCTTCCCTAGATTTTTCCAACCTCCTACCACTTTGTCTATTTTTCCCAAAAAATTTCTGGTTTTTTTACAAAATTTTGGTGTCGAGGGGGGTCGAAGATACGAGGTAACACGTTACGCATATGACAATACGTACGAGAAAGGGGCGATGATAGGAGCTACGATCACCGCCCATGAATTTATAAACAAACAAGAGGACTCACGACGTGACGATTAATAAACAGATGAAAGTACATTCCCGGACTTTTCTGATCGTAGGAGCACATTTGCTTGCAATTTGGGAAGCCCTATCTATGAAGTTACACGCTTTCAGACACTTCGTCGTGAAAGCCCATGCGTGGGCCGTAGTTGCGCAGTGATGCCAAATTGGCGGCCAATGGCCTATGTCCTGATACCCTCTGCTAAAACATGTGTTTTAGAAGCATACCAAAGTCTTCGAGCCAACTGGAGGTTTCATGGCCTCGGAGGGGCTGATTTTTCGTGTCGTGGGGGGGGTCACGAAATGATCACACAGTTTTTTTTTTCGATAGCTACGAAGAATAACTAAAGCCTTTGTGGAAGTAGAAACGTTCAAGCTTCCGGCACATTTTTTTCGAAGGTCGTGTTATGAAGCTGTTGCCATGATAAAGGAAGGACTCGCGTCGCCCAAATGATCACAACGGATCCACACGATGATCACAACGGGAAAGTTCTGAAATCGGAAGTTTTCGAATCGCTGCTTCAGAGTGAACGAAGAGCCTAGCCTGACTCATTCCACTTACCCCTCTCCGACACTTTCAAAGAAGTTATGGGTTTTCAAATGAGGGGTACTTTTCACGTGTTTGGCTTTAAATTGGATCCAGGCTGTAAAATAGCGCGCACCAATGAGCTTGTATTTAGCGCGTTGAGGCGCCGAACGCAAAATATCAAAAGTAATCATTAGTTCCGGTTCGCCACTGGCCATGGTGGAGTTTTTTTTCTTTTCCATTTGATTGTGAATTATTTTGATTGTTTTGTTTTTGTTGAGTTTGATTTTGTTTTGTTGAGTTTGATTTTGTTGTGAGGAAATTGCTCAGGATTCAATTTCTACGGTTTCATAGGTAGCTTTTGCAATGGATTCTTTTCTAGATTTTGCGGATTAGTGGATTGGGATTTATCTAGACCAGATGAGGGTTGGTGGGCGAAGTGTCTTGAAGTTTTTTTGTGAGGAAGGAGGAAAAAGTTTCAGCAATATTTTTTTTAGTTCTTGGCCTAGGAATAGTTCGATAGTGCCTAGTTCTATTAGGTTGTTCGAAAAGTCCTGTGACACTTTGACTAAATTTTTCGAACTAAATTTCTGGCCAGTAAAGGACAACCTACAAGGTAACCGCAATTGATGACTAGGACTAGTGCTCTTTCCTATTGCAATCAGGCTTGATTTCCATTCTCGTAGGACACGGTAAAAAGAAGAGGTGGACCTCATTCTCGAGTTGAGGTTGATTTTCGGAACTTTTGCTTTTGAAGGATGCGATAGTGACCAAAGGAGGTGGTAATTAGAGGCTGCTAACTTTGTTAAATAACCTGAGTACGGTCGCATTCTCTGATCGAAATGCATGATCTTTTGGCGTAGCCTGATCCCCAGCGGTCCTCGCATTACCGAGTAGTAGAGAAAAATTGAGTATTTCTGAATGAATTCAAGCGTGACGTCATCCATATTTTGAAGTCGATTAAGGTACTGTGGTCCTTACAACGGTGCTAGTATCCAGTGATACCGCTTTGAAGTCCCACCAATAACACACTGAAATCTTTATCCCATGCACATCTGTCTTTTGGCTAAGCAATCTTTTAGTTTGAGAGATCCTGCAAGGGACATGTGCATGATGTACGCAAGGACTCCACACGCTACCAACCACAAGATCTCACAAAAGTTCCTACGCTGTGTACAAGGAAAAGAAAACTCAGTCACGGTCATTCGGTATGACTTGTCAGACGGGTCCAACTCATGAGGCATCCTTCACAAAATTTTTTTCCGATAACCGAGATTGCGGAGAAGCATGGCAGTTGTCAGTCAGATGGAGCCTAGAGAGTCGCCAACTTACCGGTGGTTACGTTCGGCTGCGCCTCAAGAAGCTTGAGTAAAGGGCCGTCATTCTGTGCTGATGGGCGACCTATACATTGCCCAACTACGAGTTAAATAAGCCTAGAAGCGCTGATGCAAAAGCTACCCTCTGCCATGGCAAGCGATATCCTTCCTCAAGACAACGTAGGTGTCCTTGACTACGGCGAAGTGGCCCTACAGGAACTCATAATATGGGACAGGTCGAAAAGTACCTCGATCTCTGGGGACTTTTAAGCTTTGAAAACTTCCTCAAAGTCATGATATACCCATGTGCAGAAACCCCAGAGGACAGTCTCCACTAATCAGGGATAAAAACATCCAAAATGATTTTTGGTCTTTTTCTAGAACAATTCAATCAAAGTGTCGCAGGACTTTTCGAACAACCTAATATTTATTGTCATCTACATCGTCCCTTTTGAGCTTCTTTTCACTTGTTGTATCACCGCTCTCTCCACTTCAACATGGGCCATGCGTTTACGACCCCCCCCTCCATCGCGGGCAAATACGACCCCCTTTCACAAAGATGACGTGCCCTGCATCCATGTCTACGCATCGACAAGCGCACTTTCGTTAGTATTATCAACTGCTATGCACCGACGTCAGCAGCTACGGACGAAGAAAAGGACGCGTTCTACAAGGAATTGGAGGAGATGATAAAAAGGGAACGGTCCTACTACAAATATGTTGTCGGAGACTTTAACGCAGTCATCCATGAGGAAATGCCAGCGACAGCGCGCATTGGGCACGGAACCGGAGAAACAAACGAGAACGGCGAACGTTTGATGGACCTCTTAGAGCAATGCAATCTCTTTCACGGAAACAGCTTCTTCACGAAAAAAGAGGATCGGCGATGGACGTGGGAGAGTCCGAATGCCACGACTCACAGCGAAATCGACCACGTTCTCACTAACAGGAAGTGGAGTCTGCTCGACGTCAGCGTGGTGGATGCATTCCGCACTGGGAGCGACCATAGGCTGGTCAGAGCAAAAATTCGTCTCCGAGCGAGAATCCGAAGACGCGACTTCTTCCGACCTCCTCCCATACGGCTGCCACATTACGACACAAACGTCATGGAGGCGGCCGCCGCTCACTACACGTGGCAGGAGGCGCAAGACTTGTCGCAAGACTATACCATGCTCATAGAAGGACTTCGACATTGCGCTATGGCATCGGCTATCCCAACAAGGACGGATTCGAATGGCAGGATGACGATTTCTTGAAACAGCTTCGCAGCTATGGCTTTCAGCTCTGACATAATTTCACTTTTGCTGAAGAGTGGCATGAATACTGCACATTGCTTCACGTTTTGCTATTAAGAAATTCACTAGGGGAGAAGCTACGGAAGCCGAAGATAGTCCGGTACGGAAGCAGGAAATTGTAAAGAATAATGGTCAAACTGGTGAGTTTTTTGGGCAGAACAACATATGAATCTGCTTCGAAGGCACTCTCCTGCTTCGAAAATGGTAAGTTGTGCGGCTCAAATATAATGGCAAGAGGATAGCGATAAGGCGAAGAAAGGTCGTGGGCGAACGAGCTCTTAATTTCCGGTGCCAGCTTTATGTCCGTATCATCTAACGCTCACTACTCGGAATAGAGGGAGTCAGTAGCGGAACCACGCACCATCAAGTAGCAGTTTAAAATGAAAGGTGTGGGTTGCCTGTAAGAGGAGCAGAGGCCTCGTCGCGAGCGAGCGGCAGTTTCTCCACATATTTTTGAGCTGCGAAGGCAGCACATCCTCCGCGCCTGCGGAAAGGACTACCATTCAAGGAAGGGTCTGCCCATCAAATAGACGTGTCAATAAGAAGCCTTCATTCGATAACGGTAAGCTAGAACGGATGGCTATTGAAGAACGGGATCTATCCTGTATGAGTTCCCTCCTGTAGAAATGCTC